GGTATGTGGTATGATGGGGGAACTCACTAAGCTTTGTGCTTACGGTTTCAGTTTTGGTTTCAGGTACCTCTTCGTCTAAGGGGAAGGAGTCGGCGGCGTAGCATGGCATCACACACACACATGATTTTCCGCATGGTGTTCTCTGGGATTGTACTCTGATATGACATTTGTTTATGTTGTGGGTTTTAAACATGATACTTGGTTTTTTGAGATGACGTGTTTATATAATATTTTCTAATAAATGTTTTATGAATTAATTAATCAAAAATGAAATTTTTGGGCTTGAATTTTGGGATGTTACACCCATCATCGGGAGTTCCACAAAGCACGAAGCAAGCAACATTCGGGCATCGAATAAACACATAAAACCCACTCTAGGTGATAAATCCACTTGTTCTACTCATACTCAAAAGATATCACCAAACTCAGCAACCCTACCCCTCGCGGGTATCTAACTACTCTCTCAATAGGCTCCGCAAATGCTCATCTAGGTATCTCTCCTAAATTACTCCTCTACTCAAATCCCTCTCTAAAAGGATTCCTGCTGGATACTCTTACTCAGCACATGCTCGAAAGCACATCACAGATAATAGTAACTCCTAGGCTAAGGCATCACAAATCAGGCCACACTAGTCCTAACATATGAAATACCTAGCCTATCTCTAGCATGCATAATATCTCATAGCATATCTCATAAATATCTCATAATACAAACGTAAGGGTATTTTTGGGAAATCACCGTTCGGGCTCTGGCTGATTGTACACACTGCTCCAACTCGTATTCTTTTAGAAACTCTTTCTCGTGTTAGAAAAATCATTTCCTTGAAAAGTTTTCTCAAATCCTCAGTTTGAGTCCAGATTTACCCGAAGGTGCATCCGAATCCCTCAAACCAAGGCTCTAATACCAACTTGTAACACCGTAAATTTTCAAACAAAATTCTCATTTTAAAATCGCATACTTTTCATAACATATTGTATAGAAAACTCGTTTATTCAAATTACAAAACACAACTCCATTAATAATCCAGGATCCTCAAAACATAACTCTTTCTCTGGTGTGTACAATCAAGCTGGTGCCTTCCCGCGATCCTCTGAGATACCTGAAACACATAACACATAACACAGTAAGCACGAAGCTTAGTGAGTACCCCAAAATACCACGCACAACAACTAGCCACTCGAGGCTGTAACTCTGCGAGACCTTCCGGTCAATGTGTCTCAGTAGGACCTTCCGGTCCCATAGCTCGTTGGACCCTCTGGTCCGGTCATATATCGTTGGACCCTCCGGTCCGGTCTAACTCGTTGGACCCTCTGGTCCGGTCTGGTGAGGCCTTCCGGCCTCATAAATCGTCGGACCCTTCGGTCCGGTCTGTAACACTCCGCATAGCGTAAATCACAAAGAAATAATGCACAACATAAAAACATAAGGCATAATAAGACAGTACTCAATGTAAGCACATAAGACCTTCCGGTCACACATAACTACCACTCAAGATAAAGTATAGTGAGAAGACTCACCTCGGCTAGCAGGTGAGCAAATAACCTCGCGCTCGGATCTCGAACTAGCCTCCTCCTAGCACAAAGGATGAATATCTCTAATTAATACTCTTTTCACGACTCAGATAACCGGAGGCGATTCTTTCTCTTTCTAACTCTTTGAAGTGGGTAAAAGACCATTTTACCCCTCCAAGGTCTCTATTACTTATGTTGACCAAAAACCCCAAAGTTAACAAAAGTCAAACTCGAGTCAACAGTCCATATTTCACCCAACTCGTCGAGTGCACCCTTGTGACTCGTCGAGTCCCCTCGCATCATCTGAATTCTTCCTAGGACTCACTCAGCTCGCCGAGTTGACTCCCAACTCGGTGAGTTAACACTGGGACAAGGCTACTCAGTCAAACCCGCTACGACTCGTCGAGTCACCCCATGGACTCGGCGAGTCGGCTCCATCGGATTTCCCATTCATCCACCTGAGGTCATATCTGTAACTCTAACTCGTAGATCTAACCTCCTAATACTCAAAAGTCACGTAAAGGTCCGATCTTGATACCCATGCATAGTGTATTTTGCTCTATATACCATTATGACTCCATTAAAGCTTCATAGCTTCAAAGCTCTAAGGTTGCTCAACCATGGCTTCCCACTATCTGACTCTCTGGACCTTACAAGGTCCAGATCTTATGGCATAACTCAGAAGAGGGGGGTTTGATGCACCCAAAACCCACCCAAAAGTGATATGAGCCCTAACTTCTCATACTTTTGGGATCTATTTAATAAATCAGGAAAGGTAGGGACTTCATACCTAGATCTGAAGCTGAAGATGGAGATGAAGTAGATCCACAAGCTCTCTTCTTGATCCTTGCAACACCCTTGATCTTCTTCCCAAGGAATGACCTCAAATGAGCCTCTTTCCCTCTCTTTGCTCACCAATGACTCTAGGGTTTCTCTCAAGTGACGAATGAAACTGAAGGGGGGTGTCAAGGAGGCTATAAGTGCCTTTAAATAGGCCCAGGACCGAGTGAATTAGGGTTTCTGTCAACAGTGCTGACTCGGCGAGTCATCCTTCCGACTCGTCGAGTCCATTCATTTTCCACGTCACCCAGACGCGACCCTACTCGACAAGTGGAGGCACCAACTCGTCGAGTCACCCCAGGCAAACTCATACTCACATATAGAAATGTTATACCACGGAAATCAGGATGTTACACGGAGTCTCAACAAAAGTTGTAGATATGTTGAGAGCTATGTGTGGATATAAAGAACGTCAAAAATGAAGTTTGTACGAAGAAGATGCGCAATTTTGAAAATATGAAATTTGGCACGCGTATGCGCGATGTGTAGAAGGTTCTAGAAGCTGTTGCGACGCCCCACCCAATTCGTGCAATGTGTCAGCAGGCCTGAGGAGCCATGCCACCCTCTGCGCGGCGCGCCACCGTGCAGCACATCACACATCCCAATGAAACCAACTATAAATAGTAGCTCATTCCTTCCTTAATCCTCACACCTTTCAATCGATTTTGCTTTGCAATTTTTGATACTTAGCCCCTTTTTCCTTCATTCTAGTCCACGGCGAAGCCATGTGACACCCCTGAGTACTCATCTGAGTAGTAGCTCTCGTGTAGGAGATCATGAGTTAGTATTTTGCACGCGTAGATCTCAGTTCTCGTCTATAGTACTCTATAAGTGAGCTACCCTTACTCTGCTTCCGTGTAATTTATAATTGTAGTTCTAAGTCGTTACTAGGAACTTATAAGTAAGATTTATCAATGATTCCAAGTCCTTATACTGTTAGATCTACTTTGGGGAGTAATGCATATGCTAGATTTAGTGAAGTGTTTAAAGTGAGATTTCCAAACAGTGTACTCTGTATACCAAACGAACCCTATCGCCGATATTGTCCTACCTGGTTATTCCTTGTTTTGATCTCAAAGTATACTTTGAGACTGTTGAGGAATCTAGACCCTTAGGATAATAGACGAAGACATAGCGTTATGCGTATCTAGGACTTTTGGAAAAGGTGTAAGGCAAAGCTCTGCCCGATTCACCTATCACCAAACACTTTTGTCAGGTGAGTGTGTAGTTTCTATTAAGATCACAATTTAAAATAAAAGTATTATTTATATGAGACAATAAATGCTTGCATGTATTATCTGTGATATATGCTAATTGTATAATTAGGATAATACTATTAAATCAAAAACTGTATTTGGGAATCGATTGCCTTTAGTTATCTGTTTTGCCTTATTTTTATGAATAAGACTTTACAGGACACTTAGTTGAAATTAAGTTAGATATCGATTAGGTCTCATGACTGGGATAGGATGTGTGAGATTATAGCTGAGTGTTTCTCCTCTTTCTTGGATGACCAAAAATGGTGTGTCCAGATCAGACAACTGGCAAGTATGTCTAGGTCATCGACGAGAGTAGATGACAACACTTGACTATTTTAGGCGGTCTAGTGAATTACATTGCTAGCATGGACTTATAACCCATAGGCGTAGATAAAATGAGATACCGTATTTATCAAATCTCTAAACATTGGTTGCCTTATATGACTTACACTGGCCAAGGACATCCCTAGTTCTGTAGTCAAACAGTTGCTCAAACGATTCATCAGGTTTGGTGATTCCTCTAGATAATCGTTGGTATAGGATCTGTGATGATAGGTTGGGTTGGGTAGTTGGTCTTAGGTCAAGATTTCATATATATAATTTTGACATCATTGATTGCAGGAATGATATTATTTAATATCACTAAATTATTATTGGCTTGAAAACCCTACATATCTCACTAGGTTTTTCCAAACCTAACCCACTCATTTTTATGCATCACAAGTAGTGGAACCAAGGATGCAGTAGTCTAGTTAGGATGTCGAGTGGAATCAAGAGATGTGCCTAGTAGTTTCATGACCTTTTATCATTTACGTTGTATTGTATGTTTGGATATGAACGATGACATCCTCGAGGTTTTTAATAAATGAAATAACTTTTGTTATCTCAAAATGTTTTGTTTAACTTGGACATTCCGCATCTCAATTTTATAAAGCGTAAATAAAAATGTTTTAATTGGTTCTGAAAAAAATGGGGATGTCACAACATTTTTGTAAGAGACATTATTTTTGATAATATTTTTTTTTACAATTTTCCAGTTGGTTTGTTCCTAGAAACTCATGCTTACAATACTTTTTAAATCTCGGTTTTTCTAGCATCTTGTTGGCTCATATATAATCTAGTCGTTACAAAAAAAAAAAAAAAAAAAAAAAAAAAAAAAAAAAAAAAAGAAAAACGGAAAAAAAATGAGATTAGCAAGACTTTGTTGATTGCAAATATTTTATTACAATATGTGTCATGTTTATGTTTTTGTGTTTTACGTCATATAATTAAGGTAGTGGGGGTATGCAATTCAACTTTCTTGGGACCGACCTCATCGCTAAACACAATTTTGCACCTCCAATAAAGGCTATAAATAAGAGTTGGTGACGAAGTAAGAGAAGTATTACAAAGAAAGTTGAAATGGAACCATCTAAGTGTGTCATATTGGTGCTTTCATATTGTTTTCTCTTCTGTTTGGTTGCTGCAAGTAACGAAAATGCTTTGGTGAGAAGTGAAGCTGAAATAGAAGCCATATCCCACCATTATCAAACACTCAAATTAAGCTCTTTCGTATCATCATCTATATGTAGCCCTTCCACTAATGGTTAGACCTGTTTCTCTTCTTATATATAATTTACTAGTTATGTGTAATTTGTAAAACATTTAAAATCATCATCTATTTGTAATCCATCCACTAAGTTCTTCATGTGTATCGAGTTTCCTTTATTGACGAGTAATGGGTTAATCGTTTTATATATCAGTTCATCAACATATAATTTACTACTTATTAATTAGGTTTCATAATAGTACTAAAATATCGTAAGTATATGGCGAATATGACATTGACATTAGCCGATGTAGACAAATTTGTGGAAGATTCACGTGGAATGGGCCTTTCGTGTTATTGCTATGATAAGTTGAACGATACCCTTGATAAATTTTATTTTATTTCAATTTTTTGAACAAGTGGCTTAGAACGAAACAAAAGCATGGTTTGAACTTTCTTTTGCAGTATATTTACTTTAATTAAAGAGACCGCCTCAATTACAAACCAATTCAATAAGGTATTATATTGGTATATTACCTCATACTCTCATAGTCTAGTTTAATATCTTCTTCTTTTTAATATATTTTCCTCGTACTCTCATAGTCCAGTCTACATCATCTAGGTCTACATCTATATTTACATACATATTTAAGTCTACATATATTCTACATATATTCTAATAAAGAAAACATAAACTTGCCATTTGTAGTCTTATTGTTTTTACATCTATATTTACATCCATATCTAAGTCTACATATATTCTAATAAAGAAAACCTAAACTTGCCATTTGTGACCTTATTAAACAAGAAAAAACATCATAAATGGTCCCTGTGGTTTCCCCAAATCTGAAGTTTAATCCTCGTGGTTTAAAAACGTCATAGATGGTCTCTGTGCTTTCAAAACTTTTGATGTTTGGTCCTTTTTGCTACCTCCGTTAGCTTTCCACCGTTAAATGAAGGGTATTTTTGTCATTTAACTATCCAGGGACCTTTTATGAGGTTTTCTTTTCTTCTATTTTTTTAAATTAAATTTAATATCCAAGGTCGATCGTCGGAGAGCCGATCTCCTCTCTCTCTCTCTCTCTCTCTCTCTCTCTCTTCTCTCTCTCTCGCTCCTCTCTCTCGCTCTCTCTCTCTCCTCTCCTCTCGGCAGCCTTAATGGAAAAACCCAGCACCATAAATTAACACTTACACCATCACCACTTTCCATAAATTTCACTACTGAGCACCCACCAACTATCGAGCCTACAGATGGTATTCTCCACCCCATTAAACCTGCAGAAAGTTAAGTTCAGAAGGAAGCCATTATTGTTCGTTTGTTTTTCTGATACACCAGAAAAGTGAGGGGTGGGGGTGAGAGCACACATGTGAAAGAGAAAGAGCTAAGGGTTGTTGGTCGTTTTTTCAACTACAGGGAACCATTGGATCGTCACCACCATTAACCATCAAGACCCTCTACACCATTGTTAAATTTATGAACCCTAAATCACAAATCATCACCCTCCATATTTCATTTTCTAATATGAATTCAAGTTGTGGGTTTCATCAGGTGTATTCCTTGAAATAAAATATGAAATTGTGTGTCTTTGTGTGTTTTCATTTCTAAAATCAATTTGGGTGTGTTTTCCTTTACTGAAATCGACAAAATCAGGTATTAATGGTGTATTAACATCATATCTAAAAGATTTAGATGGATTTTAGACCAACAGCGATGATATCATCTCTACCTCCTCTTCTTCTTTCTCTTGACTATTGTGTTCTTCCGATTCAGATTCCGGTAGGCTATAGAAAGACAAGTCATCACTGTTACCAACATTTCTTTCCTCATCTGTTTCATTTTCTAAAGGCCGCTCACGACTTCTTCATCAAAAAAAACTATGGAGTTTTGACATGAACTTGTTTGGACTAGTCTGAAAAAACGAGAGCTGTTCGTCATCACCGGTTATATCTGTAATTATAGAAGTTTCTTCGATGGAGAGTTCGAGTTCTTGAAAGAGGAATAAAGATGCTTTAATTCAATCATGGAGGTGTTAATTCAATGATTCAAGTCACCGATCTTAAAGATATGCCCAAAAGAGAGCTTTGTGTTGCTTCAAATCACATCCTCTGTGTGTATGTGCGATGTGTTATAATTTTTCGGAGAGTTAAAAGAGATAGAAGAGGAAACACGAAGAAGATGAAGTAAAAGTGTACAGGTGGGTATATACAGTATGTGTGTGGAGAGAGAGAGAGGGAGAGGAGAGAGAGAGAGAGAGAGAGAGGAGAGAGATGAGAGAGAGCCCTCGTATTTAAGATAATTGTGGCGGTGGTGAAGGGTATGTGGTGGTTTGGTACGGGAAGTTATCGGAGGAGGTGGGAACCGGAACGCCAATGGTGGGAGGTTTGGTTCACCAGCAGTGAATCGATGAATGATTAGATTAGGAAGCAAGGATCGATGAAGGTGAACGGTTACACTGGGAGAGAGAGAGAGAGAGAGAGAGAGAGAGAGACCTTGGATATTAAATTTAATTTAAAAAAATAAAAGAAAAGAAAACCTCATAAAAGGTCCCTGGATAGTAAATGACAAAAAATACCTTCATTTTAACGGTGGAAGCTAAACAGAGTAGCAAAAAGGACCAAACATCAAAAAGTTTTGAAAGCATATGGACCATCTATGACGTTTTTAGACCACGAGGATTAAACTTCAGATTTGGGGAAACCACAGAAACCATTTATGATGTTTTTTCATTATACAATATGTTGTTTTCAAAGTCTATTTGTTTCTAATCACTCTCAAAACTTTTAATTATGGATATTCATAGAAATTTATTATTTTGTTCCATTATATTGGACTACAATATCAATCAATATATTTTTCTTTCAAATTTCAAATCCCTAGTATCATACGATATTAAACTTACTAAACTTATTTAAATTCAAATCTGCTTACATTTGGCTATATCAAACCCCATGCAATGTAATTTCATATCCCTAATATTAGGGAAGATATTAGACAATATATCATAAATAAATCCATGTCCTTGACTTTTATTCTTCAAAAACAAATTCCAATCATTTATTTATGGAATAATTATTTTCAATTTGAATATTATCATCCGGGTTTTTATATTTTCACATATTCTACGTAAATGGCTTATATATACAAGTTTGTATAACCTAAATTTTTTTAATACTCATCATTTTGGCATTAAATTTAACATTATTCAAAATTTCTATATATTTAAAAACTTATTTATACAAAACATTGTAAGCTTACCAATATACATACTATATATAAATATTTGTTTGCAAATTATCCTTAAACAAATTGTTTTTTTTATTATTTAAAATTTATTATTGTCAACGGTACCGTTTATAACCTAGTGTATCAATGACTTCAAGCCAAAAAAAATCTAAGTTAACGAACTAACCAATAACCTTTGATCTATTTTTTTTGGCCAATTCACGTCAAAATTAATAAATTGTTAAAACTAAAAATTTTGTTAAAATTAATGAATACTATGAAATTTATTATTTTGAATTATAAGGATATAATGGAACTTTTAGCGGGGAGTATTTTTCCAGGACCGGAATGTTATATGTTGCTTGATAATTATTTTATCCGGAAATATATACAAAAGTCCCAAAATTTTGGGAGAAATTAACGATTAAGTCCCCAACATTTTTTTTAATAGAAAAAACCGAAGAAAAACCGGAAAATTTGTTTATTATTATTATTTTTTTTTTACCTATTTAGCAGGTCATCCACCTACATGGTATGCCAAGTTGGACATGTGCTAAGTTGGGCAGGTGCTGACGTAACATATCACGTCAGCATCCTTTTTACTTAGACCATCTCCAACCCATCTCCATTTTTCCCCCATAAATTGAGTAAAAAATAGAGTAAATAGTGTTTCATCTCCAACCCTACTCCATTTTCTATCCCATTTTTTACCCCAAAAAGTATATTCGTAAAATATTCTATTTTTATAACTTATATATATATTGTCAAATACACCCTTTACTAATTAAACTCTATATTTATGATTAATTAACATAAATTAGTATATAACATGATATTATAAATATTAAATATTGCATTTAAATTATAATTAGTAGATAAAATAAACTAGAAATGTATAAAATAAAAATGAGAGAGAGGGGAATACTATTCATATCTCCAAAAATGGAGGTGAAAATGGGGTAGGGTTGGAGAGGAATGAGGGAAGAAATGAAGTTTGGGGGTAGGTTGGAGATGCCTAAAAGAATGAGATTCGAACATGTGCTTCCTTCTCTACACCTCCACCACCTTAACTAATTGGGCTAGATGCATTACACATTTTTTCTTCTCCACCCATCTATATAACGCATTAAATCATGAACCTTTTAATACAACTATTATTATTATTATTATTATACTTCACAAATAAATATATTAAATGTATAAACATATTTTTTTGTGTATTTATATGTACCTTTTAAGTAACTTTATGTATTTTATATTTATTTTTATGTACTTTTACGTATTTTTTAATATATGTAAGCATTTGTTTTATGTATTCCAAGTATTTTTTTTAAGTATTTTAATTATTTTAAGTATTATTATGATTAAAGATATAAACATTACATAAAATTACATATAAATATAAAAAAATACGTATAAATATATTTATTTATGTAAAAATATGTATAAATATGTAAAATACATATTAATATGTAAACAATACATATAAATATATTTATTTTACGTATAAACACGTAAAAACATACAAATACATAAAAAATATAAATATTTTTTTACGTATTTTTATTTATTTTACGTATTTGTACATATTTTTACATAAATAAATATATTTATATTTAATTTTTTTTACATATTTCTATGTAATTTATATATTTATACGTATAATACTTCAAATAATTAATCATTACTTAAAATAATTAAAATACGTAAAATATCATTAATAATACTTAAAATATGTATAAATATGTAAATTTTACTTAAAATACTTAACAACATCACTTAAAATATGTAACCAATAATTAAATATATTAAAAATACATAAAATCATTTAAAAATCACACATGGACATATAAAAAATAGGTTTACACATTTATAATATTTATTTTCGAATAATAATAATAATAATAATAATAATAATAGTAATAATAATTAATAATAGTCGTTGTATTAAAAGATCCAGAATTTAATGCATTATGTATATGAGTGGAGAGGAAAAAACTTGTAATACACCTAGCCTAATTGGTTAAGGTGGTGGAGGTGTAGATGGAGTAGGCGCACGGTCAGTCTCATGCCTCCGCAACCCCTCCCCCCATTCCCCTATTTTCTGAAAAAATCGATTTTTTTCAAAGTAAAGAGGATGCTGATGTGACATGTCATGTTCGCGGATGATATGCAAAATATGTAAAAATGGACTAAAGTGAATCAATTTCCCGGTTTCTTTGGTTTTCCATTAAAAAAATATTGACATTTAATCGTTAATTATTCTAAAATTTTAAGAATTTTGTGGAGATTTTCCTTGTTTTATCTTTCATTAAAATACTCAACTTTTAATTCTATGACATTTCAAAATAAAGCGTATTTCTAGTTCAGCTGAACTCATACTTAAATTTACAAAAACCATAATAACAATTAAAAAACAAAGTGTATATTAAAAAAAAAAGACATGTACAATAAGAAAAAAAATCTCTATCGGAAACCACATGTTAGACGACTAGTGGGGAAGTGATAATGATGTGGCATTGATATGCCTGTAGTTTAAGACCAGTAAATATATCTTTAAGTTTTTTTTGAAAGGCAAGGTGTTTTACAGAAGAAAGATAGAATAAGATATACTAAACATAGGAAAGATCTTTAGTTGATGCTAACAAAATATCTAATCTATAGCACTGAAATTAACAAAAGGACTAAGATTAAATGTTTGAAATAGAAATTTCACTAAAATTGCAAACTATACAAAACTAATAGTCTTTGATGAGTAATTATTTTTATACAAATCATAGACAAACTAAGCAAAATCGAATCCCAAAAATACCATACGTGCTAATCTAGCTAACTATCACAACTTTACCTAAGTCAATAGCTTCATTCTAATCATACTAAACAAATTTTACTGATAAGATAGAAATTTAGACTTTACATCCCAGTCAATATGCAATATGATATAAACTATTTGGTAACTTTAATCACTGAATTAATATGATCAAAATTCATGAACTAGGTGAGAAGAGAAGGGGGTCTTTGGAAGTGGTTCACAAACATGGACCATGTTCCAAGTTCAGTGAAGACATGGTGAAACCCTCGACAGTAGACGGAATATTCTCCCATGATCAGTCAAGAGTTGACTCAATTCACAACTCAGTGAGAAAAGACATCCAAGGGTCGAAGACCAGTCTCCCTGCAAAATCTGGCAGACCAATCGGAACAGGAAACTACATAGTGACCATCGGACTGGGCACCCCAAAGAGAGACCTTACACTCGTATTTGACACAGGAAGCCATCTAACATGGACACAATGCCAACCATGTGCCGGGTCTTGCTATAGACAAAAAGAACCCATATTTGCACCTTCCTCATCTTCTACCTATTCCAACATCTCCTGCAGCTCATCGGAGTGTGCTAAACTCCCTTCAGCCACAGGAAACGTACCCCGTTGCAGCTCATCTACATGCGTATACCGCATACAATATGGAGACAATTCCGTCACTGTTGGATTGTTTGGTAAAGATAAACTCACACTGACTTCAAACGATGTACTTGATGGTTTCTTTTTTGGATGTGGCCAAAACAATGTAGGACTCTTTGGAGGTGCTGCTGGGCTTTTAGGACTTGGTAGGGATAAGCTCTCTATTGTGTTGCAGTCCGCTAACAAATATGGGAAAGTCTTCTCCTATTGTCTCCCCTCAACAACTAGCTCTACTGGTTTCTTAACGTTTGGAAGTAGCGGAATTGGTAGCAATGTTATTTACACGCCACTCTCTGCCTCACAACAAAACTCTTTTTATGGTCTTGATCTTGAAGCTATATACGTTAAAGGAAACAAACTAGAAATAAGTCCGACTGTGTTTACGACATCCGGCATGATCATAGACTCGGGAACTGTGATCACAAGACTCCCACCTACGGCCTACTCAGTTCTAAGTAAGGCATTTCGAGCAGAAATGGCACAATACCCATTGACCCAAGGACCGACGCTATTTGATACATGCTATGATTTAAGCAAATATGAGAATGTCACAATACCCAAGATAAGTACGGTTTGGGGTGGGAATGTAAACGTTGAAATTCCACCTCAAGGGATACTTATTCCAGTTAGCGCCGAAGTTTACTGTTTTGCTTTTGCTGGGAATCGGGATGATTCTGATCTTGGTATATTTGGGAATACGCAGCAAAAGACATTGGAGGTTGTGTATGATCTGACTGCCGGAAAGATCGGATTTGGCCCTGGAGGATGTTCTTGAACACAAGTGACCAAAATAATTTACAAGGGTATCAATTTAGCAAGAAGATTGATAAATAAGGATTGGATGTACTTTTTATTGATTACCATTTCTTTATATTAAGAACTATGCAACTAAATGTACGTTATCGATTACTATTTAATTGACGATAAATACTTGTCAAGATCATATATATTTCTGTCTAATCCATTAGATTTTTTTTTTTGGTAACTGTATAACAGAATCAAGTTGTATAGTATGTGTTAATGATGCTCTTAAACCCTTCTAACTTCTAATAGTGCTTGAAATTGCGTAGTTTTAATCGAACTTTCTCAAATAAGTGTTAGATATGTGGGAAAATACCGGCAATAGTCAAAAAATGGGGGGTAATTTCAAAATTTAAATATGAAAATGGAAATTTCCAGGTATAGACATGCATTCCACGGAGTTAGCTCCGCGGAGCTCCGCGAAATGTACTGTAGCTCCGCGGGAATGGATCTTTAGATTTTTTTTTTCACATCGTTTCTTCGGGGTTTATATTAATTCCACAACTAATTATTTTCAAGAAAAAAATTATGATACTATGATAATCTTTGCTTGAAAATAATTAGTTGGGGAATGAATATAAACTTTGAAGAATCGATGTGAAAAAAAAAAAAAAAAACTGAAGATCCATTCCTCGGAGCTACCTCCGCGGAATGAGTTCATTCCTCGGAGGTAGCTCCGCAGAATGGATCTTGGGTTTTTTTTTTTTTTTTAATACACTCATTTATTTACGATTTTGCTATTCCGCGGAGCTACAGTAGATTCCGCGGAGCTCCGCAGAGCTACCTCCGCGGAATCCATGTCTATATCCGGAAATCCAATTTTTTGTGTCTATTTTTTGAAAATACCCCAATTTTTTTACTATTGCAGGTATTTTCCCTAGATTTGTTCACCTTGTGCAATTTTTCGATTAGTTTCCTTTTATATACTGTTTTTATTCCATAACTACTCACTTGATAGTTCCATTTGGAATTTTTATTCATCCACTTAATATAATTATGAGAAATTAAATTGTTTTTTACCTTTTATGCCTACAAATATTCTTATTCATTAAAATTATGACATTTGTCACAATTCCATATTACTTAACTATCTTATCAATACTATATTAGGAATATATCAAATAAAATTAAAATGAATGGTAGAATGATGACACGTGTCATAATATGGATAAAAATATTTGTAGATAAAAAGTAGGAGACAATTTAATTTCTCTATAATTATACTTTTCCTTATTTATTCCCTTCTTCACGGCCCTTATTTTGATTTTGTGGCTATTTTTAATTTTGAATTTTATGCATTTATTGATTTTGGTTTCCCAAAATGAGCATAATTGGTTTTATTTTTTTGAGAAGTTAAATTGTCTCCTACCTTTCATGTCTACAAATATTTCTAACTATTAAAATTATGACATGTGTAATCATTCCATATTTATTTAACTATCTCATTAAGAGTATATTACAAATATATCAAATAAAATTAAATTGAATGGTGGAATGATGATAAATGTCATAATATTAATGGGTAAGATTATTTGTAGACATAAAAAGTAGGAGACAATTTAATTTCTCAATTTTTTACTTTTACTTTTACTTTTATAATTTTATTTTATTCTAATTATGATTTTATTGTATATTATTAAAATAAAGTATATATAAATCCCTATTCTAATAAATGAATAGTTTTAATCTCATTTTTCCAAGTGTCACTCTAATACAACTTCTCATTAATATTATGTCATGTGTCATGTAGATATATTAGCCAACTCATTTCAAAATTTAAATTTACATTTTCCAAATTGGGAAAACTGCAATAAAGTCCTTACATATTGGCTCCATAATCGATTTAGTCCCTATATATATTTTTTATTCAATTAAGTCCCAAATACCGGTAATCGTATTCAATTTAACCATTTGACCCAGTCAACAGGTAATCCAACTTTCAAAAATTACATTTTTGGCCCAGATTTCAAAATTTATTACAAATTTGGTCAAAAATTTACACTTTTAGCCCAAATTTTAAATAAAAAGTCATGTAGATATGATACGAACAACACAAATACATATTATTATCTTAAATATTTCGATTTTGTGGCTGTTTCTAATTTTGAATTTTATGCATTTATTGTTTTTGGTTTCCCAAAAATGACCATCAATTGGTTTTATTTTTTACTTTTACTCTTATTATTTTATTTTATTCTAATTGTATTATATATATTATTAAAATAAAGTATATATAAATAGTAATAATATTTAAGTATTTGAAGCAAAAATTAAATAAAATATCGGAATAATATTATAAAAGGCCTAAATTTTTAACGCGTTATTGAAAAACCATAATATATATTTTTTATTGCTATGACCACAACTTTCTCGCAAAATTATCACTCTAGCACACTTAACGAGTTTTATGGTTAACTTGGTTAACTTTTTTGCAAAGTCAGTCCTTAAAAGTTCAAATTTAGTCCATGAGGTTTGCAAAAAATTATACCACATGTTTTTTTAATTTTATTTTGCATTTTCATATATACTTTATTGATTTTCGTTATATATATATATTATATATATATATATATATATATATATATATATATATATATGGGCTTAGGAAATATGTGGCTGTTACGTACCTATATTAGGTATAGAACCATCAAAAACTACCAAGTTTTAACAAAATGCAATTAATCTCTCTACCATCTTTCTCGTATCCTCTATTAGACTAGATGATAGACTTTGTACATATTTTATGGAGTTTTACATATTTAATTTTCCACCACAAACCATGTAATATAGAAAAAAATTGTGAAATATCGAAATTGTTCATTAAAATCCAATAAATTTCTTCCCATAACACATCAAAAACAACCATGAAGGTTTACATATGGTAGGTGTCAGAGAAAGTTATGAAGCCTACTAGAGGTCTAATATAAACAACTCATTCGAAATACATAGCTATTGGGTATAATTTATGGAATCAGAAATAATATGAGTTCAAAAGCAATAGGAAGAAGCTAATACTGAAAAACATTATGTTTTTAATCAAAAAGTCAAATTTGATGGTTTTATACCTAATATTACACACATGACATCTACATATTTCACTTTTCCACACACACACACACACACATATATATATATATATATATATATATATATATATATATATATATATATATATATATATATATATATATATATATAGACACACACACACACACATTTTTATTTTTATTTTTTGTATATACTTTACTTATTTCACTTTTTAACTTTATTTTTCAACAATTTGATTTTTTTTTTAACTTTTTCCTTTTATTTTCTATTTTTTTAGTGTATATATAGAGTATATTAGAGTATTTTTTTTAAAAAAAATTTCATATTTCTTTTTGTATTATATTTTAATTTTTTTGTCTTTTAATTTTTTTTAATTTTTTTCTTATTTGTTTTCAAATTATTTGTTATTATTTTTTTGTATTTTTAACTTTTTATTGATCTTTTTCAAAAATATAAAATGTAGTAATATATTAGAGTATATTACAATTTTGATAAGTTATAGTTTTTGTAAATTTTTTATTTTATTTTTATTCAGGTAAATAAAATAGTTATGTTTATATTTGTAATTCCGGTCCAACTTATTTTCTTTTTATTATTATTTTTTGTTTTTTAGTGCTATTATATTTATGTTACGAAAAAATGAAAATTAAAAAAATTAGATTGTTTATTGAGAATTAGTGTTTCAATGTGTGATATAACTTGCAAATTAAATCATCTTTCTATATGTGATATCAATAATTTAATTTCAATATAATATTTCAATTTGATAATAGACTAAAAGAAAGAACAAAAAAAAAATAATAGTCGGTCTCTATAAAAAAAACTTGTTATAGTAATTTATATTTAATTCAAGTTTGTTCAGTTGAATCAAAATAAATAAAAACATTAGAAAAACCATAAATAACTAAAATAGAAAAAAATAGAAAACAAAAGGTAAAAAGGTAAAAAAAAAATCAAATTGTTTAAAAATAAAATTAAAAAATGAAAATAAATAAAGTATATATATAAAAAAACAAAATAAAACATGTATATATATTTATAAAAAAAGGGAAATAAATAAAGTATAAAAAAACCGAAAAATAAAGTTAAAAAACCATCTGATGTATTTTTTTTGTAATACCCGATTTCGAATTGCTTCATTATTCGGGGCTGTGGCCCGATCATCAGTTATCATAAGGCTTGAGACCTTAGGGAAGAAAGGATTTGGCCCTTTTTGTATGAGGGTGTTACAGTCTAAGTGATCCGAGTGTTCGATGGTGTTTCGGAGCCCAAGGGCATAATCATACTTTGTTAACTCAATCCTTTATAAATTTTGGGTTTGGTTAAGGCTAAGGTGAGTTGTTAGAAATGTAGGGTTCTTGTCACCTCTTCGTGGATTAAAGTTCGTCAGAAATGGACTTAGATCGAGGAAGTTATGGCCTTCACAGTGTTTTAGGGTTTAAGAAGGAACCCTAGTAGGCGGGGCGTACCAAGGGAGTACGCATGACGTATTGTTGTGGAGGTCAGTACGCTTGGCGTAAAGTTATGTATGCTTGGCGTACTGCGAATGGAGGTGCGGGAGTGTGATGCCTCGTACGCTGGGCGTACGAGGGTGGGTAAGTAAAACCCTAATTTTTGTTTTTCACTGTAACATCAGTCAAAATAGGTCAATAGACAATCACATGTGATTATGCCAATCATGTAATGTGATTTTGTTAAACTAGTAATGTGATAAGAGTTCTATGTAGTTCATGATAAATTCTAATACAAATATGAAGTTTCTTTATGATACAACTCAAAGTATACGTCCATACAATTCCAAAAATATAGAGAACGTCTGAATCTGACTTCGCATGAAGAAGTTATGATAAACCGAACACTATAAATCTCTATAATAAGATGAATTTAAAATAGACTTAGAATTAGCTATTGGAGTCTAAAAGATAATTTTAGTACTCGTAAATACCTACGCGTGGATATAAAGAACGTCAAAAACGGAGTTCGTATGCAAAAGTTACGACATTCTGAAGATACAACTGTCAGAAACCCTAATCTGACTGAACTCACGAGGTGAGCATAGATGTTCACGAGGTGAGGAGTCATTT